TTTCATCTTGTTCAATTCTACTTTTAAAAATGGGCCAAGGAAGTTTACCATGAACATATGATCATTCACATTCAGATTCTACCTTTCTTTGTATTTTCTTATGTATGTCTGAGTTCATTGTGTTTACTATATTATCCTTTAGTTCTTTGTTCAGCCATTTGATTGTAAGCTTCTTAAGTACAGAAATTATACTAGAAATTTTCATAGGGTTAAGAATGTATCAAAATCCAACAGATATTGATTAGATGAATGATCCACTCAAAGACATAAATTATGATAGGGGTTTTAAAAAAGTTTTTCATTATGGTTTTCCTGTAAACAGGGAGAAGTTTTAAGGCTAATTGGTCAATCTCACAGATATATAAATGGAGAAGAAATATTAATAAAACAATCCATAGAAACCATTAAATGTCATTTTTCCGGCTTCTGGACAAATAATGCCATTCTTATGCCCTTGTGCCCCACAGAGAATCCAGTTGTCTCACTACATATTCTAAAGTACTTCTTTAAAAAATGATTTTAAAATTTCTTTTTCTTACATTAGATTTTATCTTTTCTTATCTTTTCCAATTAAATCCCTATACTTCTAATATGTATTACTGACAAAAGATAAAACAATCCAACTTAAATTACATCTACAGAACATGATTTACATACTTTGAAATATATTTTAACTAAAATCAAATTATATGACAATTATTACCTGTCCTGATAAAGAAGATGACATAGAGAGAAAATCGTTCCAAAATCAACAGCTGAGCAAAACAGTCCATATTTGCCATTATAAAGGATTATAATATATAAGCTATTAATGTGCGGAATTCAAAGAAATAACCTAGCATTCAGTATTTCTAAGATCCATAGGCATATTCTTGCATCAATACATCTCTAAATTATCATGATATCCATGGCATTGGAAATAGAATAGAAAATAAATAGAATTAAAATAGAATAGAATTCTAAATAGAATTAAATGACTTAAAATAGAATAAAATGACTTAGATGAAAATAAATAGAATTAAATGATAAATAGAATTAAAATAGAATTAAATGAAAGTGTTTTCTCCCAGAATCTTTTTGTGAGCTTCTTTGACAGTTTCAGTTTTTGGAGAGGAAAGCAAATGATTTAACATGGGAGTGACTAGCATGTATTATATGGAGTCCTTGTTCTATTTTGATGAGTCAATTTTTTACATATTTACTGAATGTTCTTCAGCAATAATTAGCACAAGAAAAAGTTATAAAGATCCAAAATGAGGAGATAAGCCATCAAAAATGTTGGCAATTTTGTATCTCCCTCTTTAGTTTTTAAATGAGAGTCCAGCAAGTAGAACTGCCTCAGCTCTTCCATAGTGCTCAGATTCCACATGCTCATATTACAATTGTCCAAGTTAACCTACGTAGGGAAGGTTACTTACTACTTGCTCCTTCTCAGCACTACTCCCTATGTAACAAATAAAATTATTTGATCAAGGAAAACATTTAATAACCATTAATAGTGCAATGAAAATAATTATAAAGTTGATAAAATATATTTTAAAAAATCTAGGCATCTTTGTCAATTTCCATAATTCTGTGTAGGAGGGAAGGGTAATCCAAAGACATATACTCAATAAAATGCTAAATATTTAAATGGTATAATAATTTGTGAAATTATTGTTCAAAAACACTCTGAAATACATTTCAGTTCTGTGAAACAAAATGTTCCTGGAAATTAGTGGGAGATATCATCATGAAAAATACTTCTCTAATGTCCAGAATATTTCATATAGCTAAGATATTCAGGATTTAATTATATCTCAGAAAGGAAAATAATATTTTGGTAGAGTTTATCACATGGAAAAAGTTAAAATAGTATTTTTATAATATTCAGGAGAAAATTCATTATTGGCCACAAAGAATTAAAAGAAATAGCCACAATCAAGTGTTGGAAGATAATTAATGAATAGTATGTTTCTTCTCTAGAAGGTTTTTTAGAGCCTCTTTGACATCCTTGTTTCTCAGAGAATAGATCAAAGGGTTCAGCATAGGTGTGACTAGGGAGTAACATAAGGAGGCCACTTTACTGAGTTCAGGAAATCTGTTTGGGGTGAGATACATGAAAAAGCCAGCGCCATACAGCACACTCACGACTCCCAGGTGAGAGCTACAAGTGGAGAAGGCTTTCTTACGTCCCTTGGTAGAGTGTATATTTAGGACTGTGGACACAATGTACATGTATGAAACAATAATGACTATGATAGTAGGCAAGATAATGATGCTGGATAAGGAAAAAGATACCACTTTATGGATTAAAAGGTCAGAACAAGATAATCTCTGTAGTGGACGAGTATCACAGTAAAAGTGGTCAATGGCTCGAGAAGCACAGAAAGATAAAGTG